TCAAGATATATGGAAGTAGGTACTAATCTTACTTTTAGTTACCCATATCTCAATGGAAGTATTCAAAGTATTGTAAAACTCAACTTTCTTTAATTTAACAAAAATGATTCCTAGAATGCAAAAGAGTAATTTACATATGTGTCTATGTCATAGTAGTTTTTCATTTCTTTTTCCTTCATCTCATAACAAAAGAAAGATGGAAAAATGGAATAATTTGGAGGAATTGCTATGAACAAGACTTCAACCTTTATTATCAGGACAGATCATCCATGTGGAACACAATTAAACCAAGGATATAAAAAGGTCCATATTTCATGCAAAGTACATTAAAATAAGTAACAATGTCTTAGAGAAAATTTAAATGCTTTATCGTTCAAAAGATATTTAAAAAGCAATGAATTCTGAAGGAATCTTTTTATTTTCTACTTATCTTCATTAGTATCTCTTTCTAGTTCTTCCCTGTTCCATATAATAACTCTTGGAAATATTTTTCTCTCTCTGTCCCTCTGCTACCCTACCCTATTCTCATTTCTTGCCCAACAAACAGTGACTTTTCTCTTTTTCGGTCTCTTTCCCAAGCTGTCCTCTTACATCAATACTTTTCTATACACCTTTTCCTTGTACATATCTTACCTTAAAATGCTTCTCATCCCTCAGCAAAATTTTCCAGCTTCTGTTTTTCTTGAAAACTTTAGAAGCTATCTATATCCTTCTAGACTACTTGGGTAAAAGTGTTGAGAAAAGCTTTGTATATAGTACAGGCATTCCCGGATATGGGTCCTGAAATTATAAATAATTGGCTATGCATGTTGGGTAGTATTTTCCCTCTTTTCACCCTAATTTCCTTAGCTATAAAATCAAGAAAGTGGATGTATACCCCATAGCTGGAATAGAATAAATAATATTATGTGAAAATGCCTTGTACCTACTTGAACATTGTTTTTTCTCTTCCTTTAATACATTCTTCCATTAATACATCTCTTCCATTTTAATACATCTAGTGGAGCTTTAATGTCTAGAGAAAGTATCATAGAAAATCTCAGAAAACATGAATTGTGTTTAATTCATTTCATTCAATATTCCTCTTTACATCAGCAGCAGTAGAAATGATATTTATATACAAGTCTCGAAAAAAGTGTGGTAGAATTTTGTTCAAATAAGTTTATTACCATAAGCTTGAAATGAGAAAGCAAAGACAATTTGGACTTACTTTACTACTTTCTCACTATAAAAAAGAAGGAAACTAACCAGACTGGAACTCTCTCTGAATTAAATTGTTCTATTTTTGAAGACTGTTTGGTAATTTTATCTTGACTTTACAATAGATTCAATAGTTTATTAATGAGAATTCCTCCAAAACAAGAAAAAAGAATGCTATTCTATAAGGAAGTCAACATATTAAATCAAATTGATGGAGTCTTACTAAAGTTTGTTGAAAATTTCTCATATTTTAACAACAAAAAATTTCTGCAAAATGTTTTAAATAAATTATTTATATTAATGGAATAAAACATTTTTATATTTTTACACAAAATTAGTAAAAGAAATCATTAGGAAGGAGCGGCATTTTCAGATTTGATTTTCTTGAGAGCCTTCTTAGAGGCAGCCTAGTGTATTGGATATAAACATTGCTGCAGAAGTCAGACTGTAGGGCAAGGAACATTTAAGTACCTATTTAAGTAATAAATTTCCTGTGTCTCAGGTCTCTCATCTGTTACGGTGGGATGATAAGAGATGATCAAACACTGAAGATACAAGTAGTTTATAGAGAATCTTCCTAGGTATTAAATAACATAACTGTTTGTGGAGAAACAGTATATAGACTAGCAGAAGAAACAGTCATCTATACCCACGTGCCAAATGCTTAAACTCTAATTTGGTCAGGAGCTTCCTATGTGTCTGCTCCAGGGTTGCTTCACTGCCTTGGGCCTTGATTTTCTGATCGGAAATTAACTATAATTTTAGAAATTCCATGAGCTATTGGGTTTTTAACGCTGAGGAATAAGGTGATTAAGTAAAAATCTGACATTTATCTGTTCTTCAAACACATTTAAAATAAATACGTTTAGAAAGAAGGGAAAGAAAAAATTATGAGAAAAGAAAAAAAATGGAAACAAAGTCTATGTAAATAGGGAAGGGTGGAGGGGGTGAATAGTGCACAGGTAATGGGGAAAAAATAAGAACCAAGATACATCATGTACAGGCACAAGCACCCAATGATAAAAGTAAACGTATTGTATACCTAAAATGTACTAATAAAAGAATTTAAGCAAAAAAAAGAGAAAGCTTTGGCACTAATAATAAGGCACTAATAATAAGATAACATAGTAATAAATATGTTATCTTCTGATGAAAGCTAAAACCTATTAAATATAAATAAATAATTCTCAAATATCTTAAGAACCATTAATTATCAAAAACTATAAGCATTGTGAGCTTTGTAAAAACACAGTTTGAGATATACAAAGACATTTTTCTTAGCATGGTTTTCACTAGAAATTAATATCTTTGCAGCCAAGTCTGAAATCTATGTAGATTTTTATTTTAAATGGAAATGTATTGCTCTGATTTAATCATTTTGGGAAAAGAAATCAATAAACTAGTTATAGTAAAATAACTGCATTTTCCAGGAAGGCTACTTAGGAATAATGTAAAGAAAAATGCACTTAGCATAGATTTTTTAAAAAGCCAACTTTGTGCTTGCGCACATGTTTATGTACTCTGTTTCCATTCTGCTCCTGAATTAACAATTACATGAGCCAGAAGAAATCATCTAATTAAAGAACAAAATGTAATCTGTGCTGCTACACTTCTCTTGGTCCTATTATAGAATTATCTGTGGATATGATAAAATACTGCTCACTACTAAGTGACTTATGCCTCTACGGCCATTTATCATTAGAGATAATTGTAGTTCAGTGCAGAGCCTTGAGTCTTAGAATAATGCTGTATTAACAATAGCTCTCTAATGTAGTGTTTATAAGATAACCTCCTTTATTTCCACCATCCTTCCACCCCAATATATTCCATCCTTTCACCTCACACTTCCATCTTTTACAGTGCATTCCCTCTTTGTGAAGGAAACCATCCATTTAGCAATACAAACTAGAAATCTGAGAGTCATTCATGACACTGTCTCCCCTTCCACCATTCCTCTTGCATTCAATTTATCAACAAATCTTTTACATTTTTATCTTCTAAATATGAATTGAATCTTTTCATTTCTCTCAAACTCCATGCTGCTTGTTTTCTGTTCTACCTAAGTTGTCACCACAACCAGTCATGTTT